TGTGCCGATCAGGCACCCGGCTTTGGCGAGCGCCGGAAGGCCCTGTTGCAGGACATTGCCATCGTCACCGGCGCTGAATTTGTGGCCAAGGACCTGGGCATGAAGGTGGGGCTGCTGCATCTTGGCGGGGTTGAAACGCATTCACGGTCCTAGTGCTGCTTCACGCCGCTCACCTGCCACTCCTCCGCTGCTCTGGCATCTACAGGTGGAGAGCACCACCCTGGAGCAGTTGGGCGTGGCACGCAAGCTGACCATCGCCAACAGCAGCACCACGCTGATTGCGGACCAGGCTAACAAGGATGAGATCAAGGCACGCATCGCGCAGATCAAGAAGGAGCTGGCGGAGACCGACTCTGGTGAGCCGTGGGCATCGGCAGTCCTGTCGCCTGAAACTTTGGTGTTAGTACGCCTTGCTAGTGCTCCACTGCCATGGCAAACCTCTGCCTGCTTCTGCGCTGCCAACCCTGCAGTGTATGACACCGAGAAGCTGAGCGAGCGCATAGCCAAGCTGGCGGGTGGTGTGGCGGTGATCAAGGTGGGTGCGGCCACCGAGGCGGAGCTGGAGGACCGCAAGCTGCGCATCGAGGACGCCAAGAACGCCACCTTTGCGGCGGTGGAGGAGGGCATCGTGCCCGGCGGTGGCGCCGCGCTGCTGCACCTCTCTGAGCTGGTGCCTGCGTTCAAGGAGGAGCAGCTGAGCGACCCCGAGGAGGCGATTGGCGCAGACATCGTGATGAAGGCGCTGCGGGCGCCCTGCCGTGCCATTGCAGGTGCTTTCCAGCCATGGCTGTGCCAGTGCCTGTCATCTCTATTTTCGCTCATGATGCTGCCAGCTGTACCAGGCAACAGTGCTGTCTTGAGTGATTTGCCCCTACTGCAATGTCCAATCTGACTTGTACCCTGCTGCTGCCCACTCATTGTGCCCGCAGAGAATGCGGGGGTGGAGGGTGAAGTGATTGTTCAGCGTCTGCTGGGCCAGCCGTTCGAGATTGGGTACAACGCGATGTACGACCGCATTGAAAACCTGATTGATGCCGGCGTGCTGGACCCCGCAAAGGTCACCCGCAGTGGCCTCATCAATGCCTGCTCCATCGCCGGCATCATGCTCACCACCCAGGCGGTGATGACGGAGCAAAAGCGGGAGAAGAGGCAGGTGCCCGGCATGACTGCAGGTGGCATGCCAGGCGGCCTGACCATGTAATGGTGCAAAAGCAGGCCTCAGCCATGCCGTGTGTGCTTTTCTTCGCTCCCATTTCATACAAACATGCTCAATGCCAGTCCAACTCGAACGACACAGGCACACAGTCAGAGTATTTACATTGTAACTGTCGCACAGGTGTCTGCTGTGCTGCATGGTCCTCACGGCGCCACCACCGTGTTTTCCTTGTCTGCAACCAGCTGCTGAGCTGAAGCTGGTGGCCATTTGCCACCTGGCCGCACCAGCTCCTGGATGAGCCATGCAGGAGAGTCGACATGCGGGAACACCCGAATTTTTTCAGCATGATACTCAGCCTGCAGGTGGGTTGAGATTGGTTCCATTGGACAAGTGCAGGCCAACAAAAGTTGATCGGGCACCTATCAGCAGATCAGGCGATCTCGGAGCACGCAGCCAGCTGAGCACCAAACACAGGCCGTGCCCTGGCCCTACCTGCACTGCCTGGGCACCACGGTTGGCTCGTTCCACCATCTCCTCCACATCCCCCACCAGCTTGCACACACCCTCCACCTGCATCGCCAGGCGGCGATGCACCCCCGCATGCAGCCGCGCCAGCGCTGCCAGCTCATCAACTGCAGGATGCCCCGCCACCAGGCCTGCCTCTGCTTCCAAAGCAGCAATGGGGGCCTCGCCGCTGGGTGCTGCCCCTGCGCCTGCCACCACAGCCAGCTGCTGCTGGTCCAGGTGCTCCACCTTGTCCAGCAGCGCTTGCCACTCCTGCTCCTCCTGCAGCAAGGCAAGCATAGCAGGCAGCAGGCCCCCGCCCCTAGAAAGTGACCAAACAATGTCAGCATATCACTGGTAATGGGAGAGCTGTGTCCAATACATACACAAGGCCACCTCAGCCAGCAACTCACCTTTTGGAAGTTGGCCAACCGCGCACGTAGCCCCACCTTGCGCGCCTGCAGATCCACCTGGTAGTCTGGCTGCTCCACCTCGCTGTCCTCCAGCAGCATGGCGGGAGGCCGTGGTGCTGACGCCAGGTGGACGCTGCCCTTGCTTACAGCATTGGCCAGCTGCTGCTGCAGGGCAGCAAACGCGTCTGCCAGGGTGGCACCCCTGGCAGCTCCAGCCGGCTGCGCTGTCGCTGCTTCTGCAGCAGCCGTCCCCAAGCTGCTGCATAAGGCCAGCAGGCGGTCTGCGGGCGTCGAACGCTCCTGCAGCGCCTGCATGCCCTCCACCAGCCGCTGGCCCAGCGCCTGTGGCAGCTCCAGCTCATCAACGTACTCGCTCTCCGCTGCCGCTGCCGTGCTGGCAGCCTGCTGTGCAAGGTGCGCGGCTGCCGGCGTCTTCAGGTGCGACTTGGTGCGAGCGCTGGTGGCTGGGGCCAAAGGCGGTGGTGGCGGCGGCGGCGCCCCCTCTGCGGGCACCGCGCTGCTGCGCTTGCGCTTGAATAGGAAGGGCACACCATTGCGCCGGGCCTCCACCACCTCGTGGCCTGCAGCGCCAGGTGTGGCTCGACAGTCGCCGGGCGAGGCTTGAGCTGCTGTCACCAACGCAGCAGCGGCTGCTCCCACCTGTTGTAACCTGCACAATCTGCTCCTGGGGCTCCTCCCGAACGTTGAGCACCAGCTGCACGCGGGCTGTCGCGGGTGTGCGAGCTGTCGCCGCCATTCTGTGTGGGGCTGGGTGTGGGAACGGAGGGCGGGGTGGACTGGGAAGGTGCTGCCCTCTGGCCTGTTGCTGCGCAGACGAGGCAGCCTGGAAAACAAACACTCGTGCTATGGCGTGGCAGCATGCACCCTGATTTATCGGCTTGCCATTCTCGTTACTGGTGGCTCCTTGTCTCCACCCGACAACTGTCTCTCTCGCTGTAGCTGGCCTCTGGCCAACGCGCCGAACATCCCACTTCCTAGCCATGCGCCCGGCGCTGCTGCCCATGGCGGTCGTGGCCCTGCTTTCAGCGTCCCTTGCTGCTGGAGCATCTTTCGGGGCGCACGCGGGGGGTGACCTGGACGCCGATACAGAGGGTGCTTTCACGCTTCCGCTGCACCAAGAGCCTAAGAGCATATGGCCGGAACTGGTGAGGCTCCTGGCAAGCCTGGGAGCGCGGCCGCCACTCCGCTGTAACCGCTGCTGCCGCCGCCGACACACTGCGCGCCAGTTGTAGCTCTCGTGAAGTTATGGCCGGGACGACAGGGCTGCTGTCAGTCTAGCAAGCATCAGCTTGTGGGAAGCACACAGGCGCCATCACCCAGCAAGGTTGGAACCAACCACCCAGCTCACTGCCCATGCAGGTGGGCTGGCCTGGTGAGGAGGCCAAGGCACATATAGAGGCACAGCTGCCTGCCGGCTCGCTGGTGATCGTGATTGCGGAAGACATGTGGGTGAAGGTTGGGGGTGGCGTGGGCACCAGATGTGGGTGCAAGGCGGGAGCTGCTACAGGAGCGCGTCGTGCTGCAAACCTGCCAGTGCTGTTTTCGCCCAACTCCCCCTCGTTTTGCCACCATGCTGTGTGGGGCAGGATGATGACAATGGACTATCGAGTCGACCGCGTGCGCATAATTGTCGGTCGCGAAACGGGGCGTGTTGTAGCGCCACCACGGATCGGCTGACGGTCACACGTGCTGTGGTCACATGTATTGTTCTCTACATGCATGACTTGCGCCTTGACCCGCTGCCGCGCGTATTGGCAGCACTCGCTCTTACCAGTCCCTCCCTTGTTCTCTTGTGTTGCTTGTACATGCCCTTTGGATCTGATATGCAGGTCGTGTAACCGGCAACAAGACGGAGAAGGGAGAAGAGGTCGAAGCACATTCCAGGCACGGCAAGTGAAAGGGGCAGTGGTCATGGCGCGAGGTCTCGTGCAGAAGCACGAAGGGAACGCAAGAAGCCCTGCTCACGCCAGCGTGCGCAGCGCCGCCAGCAACTTGTTTGTGTGCTCTGGCAGGCCCACCGACACGCGGACATAGTTGTTCAGCTCCTTGGTGCTGTAGTGGCGCACCATGATGCCGTGCTGCTGGGCCAGCGCATCCTTGAGCCCTCGCGCATCGCGCCCATTGGCCACCTTGCACAGCACAAAATTGGAGTGGGAGGGGCAGGGCTCGAGGTAGGGGATGCCGCCCAGACCCTCAAACAGCCGCTGCCGCTCGGCCACCAGCGCGTCGCGCACGCGCTCGATGTAGGGCAGGTTCGACAGCGCCGCCACTGCCGCCACCTCCGATGCCACCGACACGTTGTACGGCTGCTTGGCGCGCCAGAGGTACTGAATCATGTCCAGCGGGAAGGCGCCGTAGCCCACTCTGCGGTGACAGCAGAGTGCGGGCGATCAGGAAAGGTGCTCCACTGAATGCACAAAATGTCGCTGCGTAACGTCACACAGCCCCACAAAATGTCGCTGCGTAGCGTCATAGAGCCCCACCCTTGGACAACAAGCCAAGGTGTCCATGCGCACCTGAGCCCCGCCAGCGCTGCGCACTTGCTGAAAGTGCGTAGCACCACGAGATTGGGGTGCTGCGCCACCCAGCCCATCTTGGAGGGCTCCTCTGAGAACTCGATGTACGCCTCGTCCAGCACCACCAGCACCGGCAGGCGCAGCACCTCCAGCAGCTCCTCGGTGCTCAGCATGCTGCCATCGGGGTTGTTGGGCGAAGTGAGAAATACCATCTTGGGCTTGTGCTCCGCAACCGCCCGCTTGATTGCTGTGGTGGCATTGAACAGAGGCAGATCGCGGTCAGGGGCATCAGTAGAGGCTGCAATGATTTATGTCAGGGCTGCACGGCACACAAAAGCTGACGCTGACTAGACCCTGCAGCAAGGCCTGCTGACCCTGCCAGCGTTGAAGCAGTGTCCTGCTGCAGCACCAGCTCACCTTCAACATCAATCCTAAAGCCCTCTAGCCGCGGCACGGTCACCACGCTTGCATTGTTGACTGCCGCGTCAAAGACGTACATGGTGAATGTGGGCGGGCAGTCCACAATCTTGTCGCCGGCATCTAGCACGCACCGCATCAGCAGGTCTATGAGCTCGTCTGCGCCGCAGCCGACCTGCATGGCAGCAGGTCTGGTGGTGGCAGGTGGGTGGGTTGACGGGGAGGGGAAGCAGGGTGCTGTGACACGTGGCTTGAAACCTGAGTGCAGGAGATGGCGTGCCATCTCCTGTGTCCATGTGGGTTGCCGCCGATGCCAGCTTCCGGCCTCTGGCTGACGGCGATGCAGGACAATCTGCATGCAAAGCACGCACCAGCAGGTGCTCTGATGGCACACTATGCCACTTGGACAGCGCCTCACGTAGCCGCCGCGACTCTGGATCAGGGTAGATGTTTGGGAAGGGCATTGAGCCCAGCGCCGCCAGCACCTCGGGCGGCGGTCCGTAGGGGTTCTCATTTGCATCCAGCTTGACGATGTCCTTGGCCTCCCGCCCCAGCCGCTGCGCCAAGATCTCAAAGGGCTCAATTGGCGTGTAAGGCTTGAGCTTCAGCAAGTGGGGGCGAATGAAGTCGGCGGCGGCCATCTCGGCCTGCTGCTCCGGCGGCGCCACGTGAGCGACGGCCGAGCTGCCTCGCCTGCTCCCTCTGGGCCCCACGCTGCTCTGAAGTCCAGCTCGCTGCACTCCAGCCACCGCCACCATCGATAAATCGCTGGGACAGGACCGTGGCAAGGGAGTGACACTGGCCAAGACAACGAGAGCAGCTGATGATAAATTGATCCGGATATGCATGCACTGTGGTTTCAGGCAGGAAAGGCCTGTGCCCGACGCCAAGCAGGACGAGTCCTCCATGTTGGAGTTTGGTGATGATTTAAAACGAAGTCCCATTGAATGATCGAAATCCCAAATCAACATCAGAGCCACAAATAGCCGTCCATCCAAAATGCCCACCACAAAAAGGCCCGATGTGACACGGCATTATGGCGGCCGCATCTCTGGCATCGCCGCAGGCGACATGGATTGCTCACTAGCCGTGTGCTGCGGATGCTGGGGTGGTCTACTTCTCTGTTGCTGCTGCAAATGGTGCTGCTGCCCCTCCTCCTTCTCCGGCATCTCTTGCTGCTTGCCCTGCTGCTGAACTGGGTACCCTTGGTAGTCGACTGCCGGCCACGCTAGTTGCAAGTTGTGCAAGCTGCCCTGCACCAGCTGCATTCCACCATCAGACTGCCTCGCCGGCTCCTGCAGAGGCTGCTCCTTCTGTGAAGGCATAGGCATGCCTGCATCTATTGGGGGCCGAGCCGCTGCTACCACCTGACCACTTCCCAGCTTCGGTGCTGGCTCCAGTGCTGGCAGTGCTGGCAGAAAGCGTGCTGCTTCGCTGGTCTCCGATAAGAAGCGCTGCTCGAACAGCTCCGTCAACCGCTCCAGGTTGCTATCGCGCTCAGCAGGGTCCATCGGCAGGTTGCGCAGGCAATTTAGCAAAAACTGCACGTCGGCCCGCAGCTGCTGCTCCCAGGCAGCGCCATGCGGCTCCAGAAGCTCATAAGCCTCCGCCAGGGTGCGGCTGAACATCAGGGCGATGCGCCCAAAGATGCTATGCACCTCCGATGGCAGCAACAGCGGCGTCAGCGCGCCGCTCAGGATCTGTAGCTGCTTGGCGGAGGTGGTGGCAAAGGCGGAAGGTGCTGGAAGTTCTGGGCGCTGGACGCCGGCGGGCCAGGCCGCCGCCTGTGCTGGAAGCTGCTTGATGCTGAGCGACAGCCGCTCTCTCATGATGGACACCAGCTTGCTGCACACCTCCTCATGGTGGATGCGGTAGTCCTGCGACCAGCGCAGTTGTTATGGACAGCAAGCAAGGAGATGACTGGCAAAACAGGAACAAAGAGCCAGAAAGCAAGAAAACTCCATTTGATTGGCCTTCGGTCGTTGATCTCACCTGCAGCGCCCTCCCAAAGTCAGCCATGAGCATGCCCAGCCGCGGCGGAGCCACGCCCTGGGTAAAGAGCGCAACCAGCGCAGGGTGGAACGCAATGAAGGCACCCAGACACTGACAGGAGATGGCTAGATGCTTCGCAGTGATGCTCTTCAAACCAGACACCTGCATCGAAAGGAGGGGAGTGGAGGTGGGAGACCCTGGGCGATGTGCGTACCAACTGGTGCCGGATTGGCATGTGGGGCAGGCGCTGAGAAGAATGACTCCCTCGCTCTTTCACAGTTGCTCTAACTGGCGCAGCCACAACTGCACTCCAGAGTGCACACTCACCTGCATAGCCCCCGCGCCAAGAACCAGCTGGCAGGTGCGGCTGTTGAACACCTTGAGCAACTCTAGCACGCGCTGCGCCACCTCAGCGCCGAAAGCAGGCATAACGTCGCGAAAGGCGCGATAGTCGCGCAACATGCTCAGCAGCAGCAGCTGCGTGTTGACCACATGGTAGCCCTGCCCTGCCACCACCAGCACGGGGGCTGCTGCTGTGGCTGACATGTCATCCTGAGGTGTGATGGTAAACTTGCGTGTCACGTCTGCTCTACTCGGAACAGCACCTATCCCGCCGTTGAGGCCCAACCATGGCTGAATGCTGCCATTTGCACCACCGGTACTTTTGGCAGCGCCGTTCTCTGCCGCTTCTTGGTGGCCACTGGCCTCAGCTGCAGATGCCTCCGACTGCGCTATGAGTCCGCAAGCAGTCACTGCTTGCTGCAGCTCCTCGACAATGTCCTGAAATTGACGTGGCACCTCCACAGCCACCCACTGCTCCTGTTCCAGCAGTGCTGCAGTGAACAGTGCAAGCGCGCACAGGTCGGAAAAGCACGACACCGTGGCAGAACATAGAGCAGCAGGGGGGATGGTCTTGCAACACGTGGGTCAACTTGCCAGGCCTCCTCAACTCACTTGTGAGCTTGGAGAGCGTCTTCGCATGCATGGCATCCAGGATGGCCTTGCACAGCTGCTGTACCGAGGTGCGTAGGCCCAGCACGCCACGCACACCATGCTGCTCCACCAGTAATGCCATGACGTCAGTCAATTCGAGGATGCGCTGTAGGTCCGATAGCCTGCAAAGTTGGGATGCTGAAAGCCCTGGGCTCCTCTATCTGTGCTCTGCCAGCAATAGCAAGGCACAATGTCTCTTGCCAGCGCCAGCAAAGCCTCACCTGCTGCTGCTGCTGCCACTTTCAGTGCGGCCACGTGCTCTGCTGCTCAGCAGCTTGGACCAGCGAGCCGCAGCCGCTTCTGCCACGGCATGGCAGCATTCAGTCATGTCGTGCGCCGCTGTCGCCAGCTGTAGCTGGGAAGCCTTGGAAGCAGTCAGGATGAGCTGCACCGTATGCCCCACCTCGGAACAGTGGTTCAGAAAGGCCTTCACTGCCAGGACCGATGCCTCCAGCACCCACTGGAAGTCCTGGCCGGACAGACGTTGCAAGCGATCCGCTGCGCTTGGTGGCTCCGTGCTTGGTGACATTGAGCGATGGCTAGCCAGCAGGTGCGAAGAGTCGCCTGGCGTGGCTTCTGGATCCAGCACATCCAAGCAGCTCTCGATCACTTGGCTGCATCCCCTCAAAGGCACGGCGTTTATTTGGCAACAAACAAAGTCAAACACTGATGCAGCCCAATAACGACCGCTATTGGCCTTCAGCTTACCTCAGCAACTCCATCACCCGTGCAGCGGAGGTGTCTTTCAGGTCCCGCATTGTGGCCGGCAGCCGTCCCATGTGCTGCAACCCAATGACCAGCGGCAACAGCTCCTCCTGCAGCATTCCAGTGCTGACCTTTTTGCCATCTGCCGGCCATGCCGCTGCTGTGGCCACAAAGTTGCCATCGCCGCCTGCCATCCTCTCCAGCCAGCCCACAACACGCTCCACAGCTGCAGCATCAGTGACCCTCACAGCCGCCAGAGCTTCCAATTCGGGGCTCTCCTCGGCTGATAGCTGTCGACTTGGGGACACACAGGCGGAGCGGCCGCGGAGCGGTGTGCTGGCAGACAGCGCTGAAAGCTGTATGCACAGGCGGTCGCGAATGCCACGGACCAATGCTGCTTGTGCCGCAAACTTGGTGCGCTCGAGAAACTCAGAGGTCATGAGGTCATCCACTGCCTGCGCAGTCTGAACAATCTGCTCTGGCAGATGCCTGCAGTGCACGCATTGCAGAAGACAGGTTGGCGGATGGCCACCTATTGTGGGAAGCGGAGTGAGCAACAGTACTCATTTTGCTAGACAGCTGGGAAACCCATTAGATACTCACTGAAAGCAGTCGAGGCCAAGGAGTTCCTCATCACCCAGCACCCCTTGCAGCACTTCCAGCACGTCAATGGCGCCAGCGTAGTCCACAGCCATGCCCCCAGAGCAAGGCAGCAAGCCTTGAAGGGCACTCTGAGCCTGAAGCGCATCGGAAAAACAATGGTTGTCGCAGAAAACGAGTGCGCGTCATCGTATAGGCCACCATCGTGCAACAGGAGCAACTAATCATCAACAGACAAAGGATGTTGCAAGCAGCACCTGGGCAACGCCGTCCATGGTGCGCAAAATGTCTAGGGTGGCCACCAAGTTGGCACGTTGCCGCTGCAGATGCTGCGATGTCTGCACTGCCAAGGCCACCTCCTGCTCCAGGCCATGCACCTGCACGGAGGGCAGATCCATGAAAGGCAGGGAAATAGTAGAATGAGGAAGACAGCTGAATAACAGCCCCCACCTGATGTGAGGGCAAGTGTCATGGCAGTGCAATGCGAGTACCACACCAAACCAGTGAGCAGCCACGCGCCTGCTGCCTGATCGCTGACACCTGCACGTACACGCGGGCCACGCTGCCGCGCACATCGTGGATGTAGGCGGACGCATCAAAGAAGTTGTCTGTAGGAGGCAACAAGGAGGCTGGCGCAGGACGGCTTGGGAGATCCAAGCGGGCCTCAGTGAGGAATGCCTAGGCGCAATGTGTAGGCGTGATGGAGCATGAAACCACATGTTGAGGTGAACAGCTCACCCGTGCGCGCCGCAATCTCCCGTACCAAGTGCGTCTCCACAATGTCGAGATAGGTAGACAGGCGCTGCAGGCTCTCCTGCCGCGCCTCCTCACTCTTCACCTGCAAAGCAGCCAGAGCATGGGCAAGATCGGCTGTAATGGCGTTGGTGGCATGGGGACTGAGAGTGGACAGCAAGGGTTGGGTCGATCCTCGATGCCCACCAAAAACAGCTGCAAGATGCAGGCTGGCTGGCATGTGGCTGCAAAGGCTGCGTCCAATTACCTCCACCACCTCCTCCCACAGCTGCTGCTGGTCCAGGTCAAAGGCCTCTTGGAAAAAGGGAGCCGGCACTTCTCGCATGGCTGCCACCAGGCCCTGACCCTGGCTGGCATGTAGCTCCTCTGCAGCAAGCACAGTACAGGGTGGGGGCTGGGCAGGGTCCCACTGCCCTTGCTGTAGTTGCAAAGCGGTCAAAGAGAGGCACGCAACCCACGCTGCCAGCCAGCATGCTGTGACCTGGGCTAAGAGCCTGCTGCATGCGCTGGCGCAATGCCTCTCGGTTGCGCTCAAACGTCTCCAGGCGATTCCCAATGGACCGCAGATACCGACTGAAGTCTTGCAAGCTGACCTGCAAGGCAGGGAAGCAGCCTGAGCGGTAATACCACACAAGCAACACTGCTGCAGCGCTGCAGTGTTGCTCTAAGCACCGTCCCGCACACCTCTGGCAGCGTGCCCAGCGGCAGGGGCGGCGGTCGGGCATCCAGCTCCTCGCTGGCAGCGTTGAAGGTCCAGGCTGCCAGCCACGTGCTTGCACCTGGCCCATTCACTATACTGGCCAGCTCCTGGGCAGCAGCAAAGCTGGCTTCCTCCGTCGTCAGCGAGGCGGAACGGGCGGTCGACGACACCCCGGGGTGGTGGAGGCCACCGCTAGAGGAAGGGGTCTGCGGCGTCCCGCTCATGAGCGAGTGATCAGCGGCACATGAACCTGTGAACTGCTACATCTATTGAAAATTGCACACAAGCAGTCTTTACAAGTGCCAGTAGCGATGGAGAATGCCGCAGAGATCGCTAGCGCGGCGGGAGCCACGTGTTGCTGACGAGCATCATTCAACGCACACCGCAGGAGCAACACTGTCGGAGGAGCGATTGCCAATGGACATGCCCTGATCGATACTAAAATGCTGGAGCAGAGCCGGCTTCTCTTCATTCTGGCCAACCAGTTCGCCTCGCAGCAGGCCTACCGGCAGGCTGTGCATTGCTTGACTGCCATATGCAGCCAGAGGTCGGAGCTGCCATCCGTCCTGGCCCTGGCGCGCTTGCAGCTGGCCTCCCTGCTGCTCGACCGCTTCGACAACTTCCAGGAGGCCAAGGCCCTCTTGCTGATTGCGGTGGGAGCTGCTTGCTGGCGTGGTGGTGGACGCCCGCGCACTGAAGCCTGCCTTCCCATCCATGCTAAGCCCTGGGGGTGGGTCAACCTGGTTGCAGGAGCAGGACCTGCGGCAGGGCCACCACCTACTCCGGAGCGAGGTGTGGGATGCGCTTGCGCGCTGCAACCAGAAGCTTGGGGCGGTGGCAGCGGAGCACAAGGCACTGTCCTTGGGGCTGAAGGCATGCCAGCAAGGCGCAACATCCAAGGACGAGTGAGCCGGCGGTGCTGGATATTGTGCTGCGGGCTGTTCTGCTGCATTGTTGTCCAGTCGACCTGTCTGGCCGATGACTTGGCCCCCTTTCCTGTGTTCAGGGATGCGCTGGCGCACTGGCGCACGTACTTCTACTTCAAGCTGGCAGAGCACAGCATGATGCACGAGGGGCAGGATGCTGCCACTGATCAGTTGCATCTTCTGGATAACCAGGGCCTCACTCATGCGGAGCGTGTGCTGCACCTGCTCTGCCGCGCCACGCTGCACCTGTGCGCGTGCGAACCGACAGCGGCAGCTGCCATTGTGGAGGAGCTTAGCCCGCTTATTGAGAAAGCAGGGCAGGGGAACAGCCTGCTGCACAAGCAGCTGCGCTGCCACTACAGCGTGCTGTACATTGCCATGGTGGTGGCAGCGGGCCGCGTCAACGACCTCAAACAGGGTGAGAGGATGATGAGTGTTGATGCGTGTGTGTATAGGGAGGGCTTCTTTCTGCCGTTTTCGTGAGGCAATCTATTGTGTTGCACTGCTGCAGATCCCAGTGGCAATATCTCGATGCTTGTGGCACTGCACAAGCTTCTGGCAGAGATGCAGGGTGCAGATTGGAGCTATGCCTGGCTGCCCACGGCAGCTGTGGGCGCAGTGGGGAACCTTTTGCATGCCTCGCTGTTGCGCAGCCTGGGCAAATCTGCCCCGGCTGCCGCATACTTGGCAGCAGCCCACGAGGTGGTGGAGCAGCAGCTCGCCCAGTGTGGAATCGACATGGAGGTACCAAGCAATTGAGTGTTTTTTGGCCAATCATATGCCTCAATTTCTGCAATGCAATTTCTGCAATGCAATTTGCTATGCTGATCCTGCTACCACTCGCGTCCCCCTTTCTGCAGGCAAGGGAGACACAGCTGGGTGTGCAGGCCATCTGGGAAGGCCGCATCTTCTGCCACCTCAGGCTGCTTGTGGTGGAGCAGCAGGTGCTGGCTGCACTGGTGGCCTCGCGCTTTGCGCAGGCAGGGGAGCTCTTGGCAGAGCTGATAGCACTGCTGGACCGCTTCCCGAGTCTGTTGCATGACTGTGTACCCAGCACTCAGATGCTGCTGGGTAAGAGCTGGCTGGCAGTTGCTGGGGATACTGCTCTGCAGCATGCGAGAAATGTCGGCACCCCGAGAGGTGTTGCCAGCTGATCTCGTGTGTGCTCCCCGCTGCTCTTGCTGGGCTGAATGCAGGGCACTATGCCCACAGTGTGCAGCAGCATGCCGCCGCCTCCGCCCACTTCCAGGCCGTGCTGCAAAGCGACGCAAAACATCTGCATGATGCGGCTGCGGTTGCGGCAGCACTGGCGGAGCTGCACGGAAGCGAGGGCCCCACCGGCCTGCACCGCGCTGTGGAACTGCTGCAGCAGCGCGGGCTCACAGAGCTGACCCACACATTGAGCCTGACGGTGCACGACAGGACCGCGGCACTGGTGGTCAATGCTCTGGTGGCGCAGCGCTCAGGCGATGACAGCAATGCGAGGGTGCTGCTGACCAAAGCACTCAAGACGGCTCACGCGCATTTGGGTAGCACGCAGATGGTGGCACAGGTACTGGAGGGCTCCATGCTGGATGATGGCAGCAGCAGCTGCAGCTTCAGGAGGCTGCGGGGGCAGCTCTTGACGCTTTCGCTGTCTGTCGGTTCTTCAAGCCCCATGCGACCATTGCGCGCCTCATGGTTGCAGGTGTTGAACTGCTTGGCACCCATCCAGGCCACCAAGGGAGATAGGGCAGGGGCAGAGCAGATGCTGGGCAGCGCCACCACACTGGGCAAGGCGCAGGGCGACCTGCCCACCCTGGTCTGCTCCAGCCGCGCGCTGCTGCGCATCTTCAGCGTGAGCCCCGACAACGCCCAACGCAGCTCCAAGCAGCGCGAGTACACAGAGCGCAAGGCGGGGGACCTACATGCGGCAGTGGCGCGCGCCGCGGCGGCGCCCAGCCACGCCACGCTGCTGGCCTGGGCCCCTTCCCAGCACCCCTAACAAGAGCAGCAGAAAGAAATCCTCGGATTCATGCTGTTGACACGTCAGTGGTGTGTACGCAGATACATGTATGCCCAGGTTGAGTGGAGCAGTGAGACACAGGCAAGACGAGCAATTGCTGTTTTTGAGTTTTGAATCTGTAGTGCCGGTGACGAAGTACAGATTTCAAGACAACGACTGGCGGCGGTGCACGAGCCTCCGCGCATGTCCCTCTTCGCGTAGCCTGTCGCGGGATCCACGTGCGTAGCCTGGCTGCTGCACCCCCCGGCTGTCGTTGGGCTCCACCCCCGCGGCCGCCCCTGGTAGCCTGGCCGGGCGTCCCCTCGCTCTAGTTGCACCGCCGATCAACTTGCCTCACGCCAGCTGTCGGCATTGACTGGTTGCCACCTGCCGCAACCCGCCCGCTGCCCGCTGCGCTGGCTTCACCACAAGCGCACGTCCAGGGCAGTAAACAGCAATGTGGGTCAGGGAGGTGACGATCGATGGCTTCAAGTCGTATGCGCAACGCGCCGTCATCGGCCCCTTTGACAGCCAGTTCAACGCCGTGACGGGTCTCAACGGCTCTGGCAAGTCCAACATCCTAGATTCCATCTGCTTCGTGCTGGGCATCCAAAACTTGCAGCAGGTATGTGGGGCTTTTGCAACAAGCGCTGTCCGGCAAGAGCATTTGGCCCACTCTGCCGGACAGCAGCACCAACCCCGGTGGTGGATTCAGGTGGCAGCGCGTGTAAGTGGGTTGGTGCCACCCTGTCCTGCAGGTGCGTGCCAACAGCCTGCAGGAGCTGGTGTACAAACAGGGCCAGGCGGGCATCACCAAAGCCACCGTGTCCATCGTGTTTGACAATCGCGAGAAGGAGCGCGGGCCGGTGGGCTATGAGCAGCTGGACGAGATCACGGTGACCCGCCAGCTGGTTATCGGCGGGCGCAGCAAGTACTTGATCAATGGCAAAGTGGCGGAGCCCTCGTGAGTGGCGGGCGCTCTTGTGGTTATGGCAGTCAGTCAGCAGTCGTGTCACCTGAGACAGATAGTGCTTCACAGTATCGCCAAGTGTGGCTGGCCGTGTGCGCCCGCCCTCTTTGCAGGCGTGTGCAGAGCCTATTCCACTCGGTGCAGCTCAACGTCAACAACCCGCACTTCCTCATCATGCAAGGCCGCATCACCAAGGTGCTCAACATGAAGCCGCCCGAGATCCTGGGGCTGCTGGAGGAGGCCGCTGGCACCAAGATGTATGAGGAGAAGAAGAAGAAGGCGGTGCACACGCTGGGCAAGAAGCAGTTAAAGGTGGACGAGATCAACAAGGTGGGCCATGGCACGATGCTGCGCAAACTGGCGGATGGAAGCAACGGGATGCATGGGGCACAGGAGCCAACATGTTTTGAAGGGGTGGGCTGGCATCATTGTCGCCAGTGATGCACATGCTTCCCTGTTGCGCTGGTTGGATTATAATTTTCATCGCAATGGTTGTGCAGGTGCTGACCGAGGACATCTTGCCTGCACTGGACAAGCTGCGGCGGGAGAAGGTGCAGTACATGGAGTGGCAGAATGCCGTCAAAAACCTGGACAAGCTTGTCCGCTTCTGTGTGGCTCACCGATATGTGGAGGCACAGAGGTGAGCCCCGAGTTTGGCCTGCACCATGCGGCGGGCTTGTCGTCATATCAGTGGTTTGCCACTACCTTTAAGCCGAGCAAGTCTTCATGCCCGACCACTGTGTCTGGCTGGCGTTAGGATACACACTGCCTGCTTATGCGGCACAATTCATGCAGGTTGCAGCAGAATGGCGAGCAGGATGTGCAGCAGGTGCAGAACGACTTGAGTGATCTCGAGGCGCAGTATGCTGCACTGGATCTGAAAATTCGTGAGAAGCAGGATGAGATTGAGGGGCTGAAGACCGAGAAGGAGCTGCAGAGCAGTGGCGAGGTCAAGGAGCTGCAAGCGGAGGTTGATGACATCTCCAAGCGGTGGGGCACGCAAATCCTCTGCGCTGTGTTGGTGCTCGCAGGTTGAGCGATGGATGGTTGCATGCAGGTGCACGGGATGCAGACAAGGCAGCGGTGTTGGCAGTTGACAGCCTGTGTTGACCAGTTTGCACTGCTGCTACAGGGTGGTCAGGGACACCAGCAGCTGGAACAACAAGAAGGAGATGCTGGAGGCAGAGCGGGCCAACTGCAGCCAGCTCACAGTGGCGCTGGCCGAATTGGATGAAGACGGCATGCGGTCCACAGTACAGCGTGCCAGTTTGGAGCGGGATGAGGCACAGGCAGCTTGTAACAGGTGGATGGTGTGCCTGCCCTGTGGGCTTGCTGCATACCCAAATGCTTATAATAAATCTAATGAATAATGAATCTCACTGTGCCTGAGCTTGCAGCACTGAGCTAGCAGTTCAAGCAGCGCAGAACGAGCTGGACGGTGCTGAGGCAGGGGACGGACGTGATGCATCCAACCGCAGCCTTCAGGAGCGGCTGGCAGACACACAGAACGCGCAGGTGTGAGCGATGCTGGTGCAATGCCCCTGTGTGTGCAGTGCCTCCTGCTCAAGGACCTGCACCTCTTTATTCTAGGTAGCTGCATGCATACCGGGTGGTATCGCTTGTCTGCGTGCCTGCTTGCAACACAACCCTGGATCACATGCTGGTGCTGCAGACCGTAGCGGAAGCAGAGGCCAAGGCTGCTGAGACGCGAAGCAAGCACCTACTGAAGCAGCTGGCTGAGCAGCGTAAGGCACTGGCCTCCAAGGAGAAGGAGGGCTCCAAGTTGCCGAAGGACTTACAGCGAGAGCGAGCAGAAGTGGAACAGTGCCGACAGGCGGCAGCAGCGCTTGGCTACCTTCCTGCAGCAGCAGCGGGCCTGGAGGAGGAGGCGGAGCGGCAGCGCAGCGAGGTGCAGTGCTGGCGCGACCGTGTGGACGAGCTGTCATCGCAGCTGGCAGGTGGGCATGGACATAGGAGTTCTCATCCGGGATGCTAGCCGCTGCCGGCACGGCCTGCCCTGGATAGATTTTTCTGCCATTGTTGGTCCTGTTTTGCAGCCATCGACTTCCGCTACAGCGATCCGGAGCACAACTTCGATCGGTCGCGTGTGAAGGGTGTGGTGGCCAAGCTGACACGAGTGGCTGATCCTACCACCAGCACAGCGCTGGAGGTTGCGGCAGGTGGCAAGCTGTACCAGGTGGTGGTGGATAACGAGCAGACGGCCAAGGCGCTGTTGGCACATGGCCACCTGCGCCAGCGCGTCACCATCATCCCTCTGAATAAGGTGTCGGCGCACAGCATCCCACCCTCAGCAGTGGCTGCCACACGGCGGATGGCGGGGGATAAGGCGCAGCTGGCGCTGGAGCTGGTGGGTTATGACCAGGAGTTATCGGCGGCTATGAAGTATGTGTTTGGCGGCTCCATCATCTGCAAGGTGTGCATGGTGCTGTGGGGCGGGGGTGGGAGCAGTCTGTGACACAAGCAGTGCAATTACGTCCCCTGGCAATAATTGGATGGATTGGGGACTGCATTTAAGACAATCCTTTCTTTTCTTAATATCTTGATATGTATACTTCTTCCTCCAAAGTGTTTTCGGCGCTGGGTGCAGGACGCCAGCACCGCCAAGAAGCTGGCATTTGCCCGTGAGGTCAACACTCGGTGCATCACGCTGGAGGGCGATGACTTCAACCCGGGCGGTACGCTAACTGGCGGCTCCCGCAACAAGGGCGGCAGCGTGCTGGGACGGCTGCACGAGCTGGCGGCGGCAGATCAGCAGCTGGAAGGAGCACAGGCCAAGCTGGCGCAGGCATTGGCCTCTATCAAGGCCATGGCCGCAGCAGCGCAACAGCACAAGAAGTAAGTAAGCTGGTCAGCGACCGTTTGGTAGTGCCCTGCTCAAAGTCAAGCATCAGGCCAGCTTATATTGCTGTATCAATGCTCAGTTCCCGACTCGTAACCCTTTAGCGATGGTTTGTGGCGCTGGTTGCAGGCTAAGTCACGAGCTGGAGCTAAAGCAGCACTCACTGAAGCTGCTGGAGGAGCGCATGCAGGGCAGCGAGGTTCACCAGCTGTCCGAGGCAGTTGCTGGCAGCGAGCTGGAGCTGCAGGAGGCACAGGAGGCGCTTGCTGCAGCGCAGAAGAAGCAGCAGGACATGTTGGCGGCGGCAAAGGTGCGATAGAAAAGCTTCATGAGAACTGTCTGAAAAATGGCAGCTCCATCACTTGGTAGTTTGGTCCCTGTGCTGGCAGGACTGGCACACGAGGATGCCCACCTTTGACAAAAAACGGGACAAGCGCTCCAGGGATCCCAAAGACAAGATGTTCGCCACCAAGAAGCAGTTTGAAGCCGCCAAGAAGGCCTTGAAAGCCAAGCAGGCGGTGCTGCAGGTGAACACATTTAGCACGGGATGGGTATCCGTGGGATTGTGACCACATACATTGCTTTTTTGCATTGCAGACGACGCTAGCAGAGGCCGAGGCTGCTGACAGCGAGCGCAAGACGTTGGTTGAGCAGCTGACGACGGCTAAGAAGATGGTCAAGGGGCTGGAAGAGCAGGTGGGCTTGGGCACAGGATTCTGTGACATGTCGAAGTGCCTGCAAGGAGGCAGCCGTTGCTGCAGCGCCATTGAACCGCTGTGCTTGTGCCCCACAGGTTGCCGAGCTGGCAGCAGTGGTGGCTGCCGCCAAGGCAGACTATGACAATCGCAATGGGCGCCTGATGGAGCGGCTGGCGCGCCTGCAAGAGTGCGACTCTGAGATTGCGATGGCCACCAAGGAACGCGATGCGCTGGAGGGGCTTAAAACCGACAATCTGGTGGAGAAAAAGAAGCTGAACAACAAGTGAGCAGGGGAAGCGCTGAGCAATTGTGGTGTTGTGGTGCCACTGGTCGGTGCCACTGGGTGGTTCTTGCTGTTTCTTGCGCAAGCCTTTGTTTGGGATGCTACTTTGTGCAACAAGCCGTTTTTGCATTTCTTCAATAAGTGTCTCCACACCACCTGCAGGCTTGATGCCCTCCGCAAGGGCATGGCGGAATCTGCCGATCGCTGCCGCAAGCTGGAGCGCGAATACCAGTGGATCCCATCCGAGAAAGCGCAGTTTGGGCGGCCTGGCAGCGACTATGACTGGGAGGCGCACAACGCGGACAGGGCAAGCGGGCAGCCTCTTGGGAACTGAGGGAACTGCACGCGGGGCCTAGTGTCGCTCTAAGGACCTCCATTATCACAACAGCAAGGCAGTGTCACAGCAACCGCTCGCTGTAGAGGCTGAAGCGCTGGGTGGCTTGCTGCCTTGCTGCAGATGTTTGCTGAGCACGAGAAGGCCAGTGCCACCATCGAGGGGCTGTCCAAGAAGGTGAACAAGAAGGTTATGCAGATGTTTGACAAGGCGGAGCAGGAGTACAACGAGCTGAAGCGCAAGAAGGATGTGGTGGAGAACGACAAGAGCAGGATTGAGCAGGTGGGCCCAGTGTTTGTGCTGGGGGTGCATGTGCTTGTTTCCAGTTTGTCTTCTTGCCAGTCAGCTGTCCCCTCCCCTGCAGACCATTGGCACGCTGGATGAGAAGAAGCGTGAGGCGTTGGAGAAGACATGGCGCAAGGTTACAGGCGATTTTGGCGCCATCTTCTCCACGCTGCTGCCGGGCACGACTGCCAAACTGGAGCCGCAGGAGGGCTGCTCATTCATGGAGGGTGAGCATGTGTGTGTTTGGAATGCAGCAAGGCAACTGATAAGTAGCAGCCTTGCATAGGTGCCCTGCATTGCGCACTGGTGCCGCTCTGCAGGGCTGGAGGTGAAGGTGGCTTTTGGCGGCGTGTGGAAGGAGTCGCTGAGCGAGCTATCGGGAGGTCAGAAGTCGCTGCTGGCGCTGAGCCTGATCCTGGCCATGCTGCTCTTCAAGCCCGCCCCGATCTACATCCTGGATGAGGTGGATGCGGCTCTGGACTTGAGCCACACGCAGAACATCGGCCGCATGATCAAGGCACACTTCCCGCAGAGCCAGGTGGGGCTGTGACAGTCTGCCCAGCAAGTGCGTGCTGCCCCCGGCATGTGTGTGTGGTGGGATCCAAAGATGTATCCGGTGCCTTGGCGTGCAGTTCATCGTTGTTTCTCTGAAGGAGGGCATGTTCCAGAATGCCAACGTCCTGTTCCGTACCAAGTTTGTGGATGGAGTCAGCACTGTCGCAAGAAGTGCGAACATGGCTGCCCCCCTGGCGGGCGGTGGCAGCAAGGCAGCGGAGCCCCGGGGCAGGGCAGCGCTGCGAGAGAACGTGCGCGGCTAAGTACCTGGCACGACACAGTTGTATTGTTGTCACAAGCACTCATTTTGGGGGAAGCCAAATGGAAGGCAGGACTGAGAATCGAAGACTGAGAAACAAAGAAGTGGGGGGATAGCAAGGAGAGCCAAGGCTCAACTGAGCAGCACGGGGACCCAGCTCCCCTCCGGGATTCGATGGAGCCAGCAACCACTTTACAATCTCATTCTGCATAAATGAGTCTCAGAGGAGGATGCTCATCGTCCGAGCAAAGAATAAGAAGTTCTTCACACGCTGAACACGTGTGTGCCGTAAGAGCGGCAGGAAGCACGGGACTAATCGGCGCTTTGTGGTGTTTGTTGTTGTGCGCCTTCACCTGTTGGCCCAGACATTTTCGGCTCGACTGCTCAGCCTACGGCGCGGCGGCGGCGCGGCGGCGGCGTGGCGGCGGCTGCAGCTGCGGAGGCTGCGGCACGGGGTTCAGAGCAGGCTGCGGCGGCTGGGGCACGGCGTTTAGGGCGTTTCATTCGTGCAAAATTTGTGGTTAAATTTGTGGTTCCATGAGTTCGCGGAATCAAAAAAGCCTCGCCAGCGTCACGGAATCATGGCTTTGCCGACACAATCGATGCCTAATTTGTGTTGATAAACTCTCTGTGCCTGCGACGAGGCCAGTGGAGGGCGACGGCAATACGAGCCCAGCGCCGGCAATACAGCAAAGCCGCCTGCAGCTGGTAGCTGTGTTTTGTTGTGTCGTCAATCAACCAGAGCGCTGGCACTTATTCTTACAGGCCCGCAGCGGTGCGCCAGCGAGTGTGCTCCCCTCGAGAGCTCAGTGTTGGTTAGTAGTCCGCTTGCGACCTGCCAGGTCCCTCAGGAACTGCTGCCCTGGCGTGGCCTTCGACTCGGTGAGCGGCGGACCGCCGCCCGCTTTTCACAACCGGCTGTTGTCCGTTGCGGCACACTCGTCTGTTTCCCCCTTGTGCGCCCCGGGCCGCCTCCTTTCTGTCCGCGAAGCGGCAGACCGCCTTTGGTGCAGGGCCCTCTTCAGACACCACCGCTCCCCGCCACCGACGCTGTGCTGGAGGTGGAGGAGGGTACCTCTTCTCCGCTGTGGGGCCCGCTGCCTACTGACAACTTGAGCAGCCCCTGCGGCAGCGAATAAGCATGTCCTCGGCCATGAACTCAGCAGCCCGAGCAGCAGCCAGCCCGCAGAAGGGTGGCGCTCCAGATGCTGGACGCCCGCTGGACACCGGCGCGGTGACCAAGCGCCTGCAGCAGGAGCTCATGAGCCTGATGGCCAGCGGTGGCGACGGCGTGTCCGCCTTCCCTGCGGGCGACTCGCTGTTTGACTGGGTGGGCACCATCAACGTGAGTGGGCGGTGCCATCACGCCAGACGAGTTCAACGCTGCCTGTGTGTTTTCTCCCCTGGTTTTTTCCCAGCCGTTGCTTGCAGTGCGCAGTTGTGTCACGTGGTGCGCTTCTGTTAAGCTACATGCGCAGTTAACGTTTGTCGCTTGGTCCTGGGCTTTGCCTTGTGCCTGTGTGCAGGGTGCTGACGGCACGGCATACGAGGGTTGCACATACCGCCTGTCCCTCAAGTTCACCTCGGAGTACCCCTTCAAGGCGCCTGGCGTGCGGTTTGACACCCCTTGCTTCCACCCCAACGTGGACGCCCATGGAAACATCTGCTTAGACATTTTGAAAGAGAAGTGGTCAGGTCCGTGGCTGGCGGGTGCCCTGGTCTACCAAGCGCCATGCTGGGGTGGTGCTCTGACGTGCCCGCTTGCTGCTTGGGAGGCGTAGGCGTTGATCCAGCAGTCTTGTGTTTCCGTTACTGGCAACCGTCTGACCTCACCCAGTTATTCTCAAGCCCGCAGACTTTGTTGCTCCCTCCTGTATTCCCCGCAGCGGCATACAGTGTGAAGACCATATTGCAGTCCATCCAATCGCTGCTAGCAGACCCGAACGTAGACTCGCCGCTCAACGCGCACGCAGCCAAGTTGTGGGGCGTAAACGATGCAGAGTACCGGGCGCTGGTGCAGAAAGCGTACAATGGCCCCAAGCATGCAACGTGAGGCTGGGCCACCTGGCTTCCGCAGCACTTCCACTCCCAGGCTCTGTTGTTCCCCGCGGAAAACCCTGGTGCAACATCCCGGTACGGGGAATTGATACATGACATGACAGACGACAGTTTCAGAATGCCTCCCCCAAGAGGGGGGACAAAGCGGTGTGTACCACGCGCCCGTCCCCCCCAATTGACCCCCCGCTCTTTTTGGTTAACCCGGGAAGGGTGTTGACCTGATATCTGTTGGGGTAATTCCCCCGACTCACCAATGTTGCAACCGTACATTTGGCGTTGGGTTAAAACAAGAACTTGGGAGATGGTGTGGTGTTAGATTATTGCGCCAGGGGCAAGAGTCGACAGTGGATGCGGTGGTGAGGAGGGCACGGCCCCCTCAGCCGGCGCCTCCTCCTCATCCCACGCCACTGTGTGTGTGTTGGATTGCTCCATCACCATTGGGCCAGCATCGCCTCCAAGTGGGTGCAGCCCAGACTGCTGTCGCTGCCCAGCAGCGTTGGCCCAGAATGCATCATCCACTAGCACCGAGAGCCGACCTTCCTGCTGCACCTGTTGCTGGTCCTGGCGCTGTTGCTGCTGCTCCGCTCCCTGCCCCTCCTGGCGGGCGGCAGGTCGCCGCTGTCCCTGTAGCCGTGCCTCCTCAGCAAACCTCGATTGGCCTGCACCCAGAGAAAGCCAATGCCCAAATTGACTTCACCGCACTTTGGCTGATGAGGCAGGGCACGGAAAGCGATGCATTGGAGCCAATGCCAAAACAACACCACCAGCCAAGGTTGGGCGTGCCACTGTGGCGCCCAGAAAAGTCCTGCCTGGCAATCCAGATGCGGGGCACAATCCAAGCTCGGCTGCCCGTCCGCTGGTTCTGCCGACCACCCTGCCCATACTCGTGGGAACACCATCGCCAGTAGGGCTGTCAGCGCCGATGCCGCCTGGTGTGCGCAAGTTACTGCCGGCTGCGATGCCTGCCGGGCGGTCGCCTGCGTCCATAGCCACCTCTTCTGCTGCCGCTCCCGCATGGCTCTCCAAAAGGGTGGACAGAATTAGCTCTGCCTCATAGTCCACATCCTGCATCCCGCAGCACAAGCAGTCGCCCAACAGCACAGAGATTCTAGGTGCAACTCAGCAGCAATGCAAGCGCAGCGTGGCACAGCATCCACGCAGCCCTTCCGCAGCACCTCTGCCTCCCTCTCACACAGACCGCACCCCACCTGACCATTGACGTTAGGGAAGTGCGGCTCTGCCACCAGCGGGTTGCCAGGGCTGTCGAAGCAGAGCTTGATGTGGGTGCCCAGGTTCTCACATAAACTTAGAATGGCCTTGAAGTCTTTCATGTTGAAAGTCACATCAGTGGCCTCATCTGCAGCACACAGGACTTATGCATGTGGAAACTGCTCGGCACTGCATTGTTGACAACAACAACTAAGTGCAGGCAGTGGTAGCATTGCTACCTGCGCTGTTTACATAGGTCAAGAAGGTTTCGATAGGCTCCACCTGCACCGACGTGTACAGCGACTTATCTACATGACCTGCGGCAGTAACCAGGCCATGACAAGTGCCCTGCTCAGCCATGGGGTAATGGGCCTCGTTGGGCACGCGATGGGGGGTGCAACCTCCTCCTGATCCCCCCAACG